TCAGTTTTCAATAATCAGATGTTAAAAACTACAGTATATGCCCTGATTCCTTCTTCATTTAATCCAAAAAGTTGTGTATTTCAGTAGCTTTTACGACCAACAGTGACCACATTATTTATTTACTGTCAGCTGAAATGAGCTCAGTTAAGAAAAGGAAAGAAAAGAGGGAATCTTCAGTTGCAGGTAGGTGAGTTGTTCACATATATACATTACGACGTCTCTAGACGTTACTGACTGGCATATTTAATACTTTAGTGGTTCAGTAGCCTACAGCATTGACTTTTATCCAATTAGTATGGGTTTTAAATCTCCCCCCACCACTAACTGGCTAGTGCCATTGGCCCTCAGTGGCTCCGAGACTAGAAAATAAAAAATTATCTATGGTAGACGACTTCATACGTTACACTGTCATATAATGCCTGCTAATGGCACTGAAAAAAATAAACTTCAGCCTAAATAGAAACGAAAGGTATGGGTAGTTTCACAACAGTGAGTGATCTAAGTTTTTGATAAATGGTAGAATGCATCAAATGAAGTGAACAACATTCTCCTATCATCCTAAATCAACATTTAACTGAAATATACGCATGCTGATATTTACGCTAAATTATATCGAAAATGCGTATATATATATCTTTGCGAAAATAACTAACCTGACAAATAAGAGAAGAATTCGAAAAGGTTAATAGACATTTATGTTGACTAATCATAAATAGGTAAAGAGAATATCGACAAAAATATATCCTAAAAAAATGTTATAACTAAATTTCTAAATAAAAAGCATTGACCTTTATTTCTAGGAGAGGAAACATGAAATTATTTCCTGTTCCTAACATTGAAAAGTTGTAATTATATAAAGTTTCTAATAGATTTTGTAGAAAATGTTCCCAAGAGGACAGCTAATCTTTAAATCTATTGGAACCATAGCAATCAGGCAAGTTTCTTTCAAATATTTGGTGTATAAGCTAGTCACCAGACAATATATTATTCATTTAGTTATTGTAAAACCAAAACTGCTTACTAGTAAAGCGTATGTTTTGTTTTGCAGTAAACTACAGGCTAACAATGTCAATGATAGTTTCATTCAATGTACAATTCATTCACTGAAAATTTCATTAACCGACTCTTCTAGACGAAACCAACAACCCCTTTTTAGTTAAAATAAAGAAGTATACTACTTCGATTGGAGACTAGTCAGTAAATAGTGTAGTGTGTCTAGTCCTTTGTTTGATGCAGACTGAATTCTATCAGCCAAGTTTGCGATGTGGCCAGCACTCTAGGTGGCTCGCCATCACTGTGAACTATAAGTGGTTCATATCAGTTGGTTGGAAGCAATTAGCAGGAAGTCCAGTGTGGCTTAGGTTTCACTAGTCACCAATGTGTATCTGTGACCTCGAATGAACTCATGTCGCTTCTGAAATTCGAGCTCACGTCACTCAGTGCTGCAGTCACAGACGTTATCAGTAAGCACTATGCACTGTGATGGAGAAACATCTAACATGGTGGCTACATTGCAAACTTAACTGATAGAATTAAGTCGACACCAAACAAAGGACTAGACACTTTGCCGTACGTTCCAAATAATGTCCAATGAAAGTATCCAATACAGTCCTACAGGTCAATGGTGGTCTCGAATAACTCAGTGGTAACGTCTCTGACTGCAGCATTGAGTGATTCTGGTTATAATCTCAGAAGGGACATGAGTTTCTTCAAGGCTGCAGATATAGCTTGGTGACTGGTGAGTCCCAACTAGCACGAAACTTAGGTCGAAGCCTTCCTGTTGATTACCTCTAACCATCTGATATCAATAATAATTTTCGTTATTTTCAGTGTATAATTAACACAAGTAAATTTAATTCTATAACTATTTTACAAGTATGCATATAACTTATCAGATTGTCAAAAAAGAATTTTGATTTGAATTTTCTTCAGTAAAATAATAAATTCATTTTAATTAATTTCATAAGTCTAAAAAATTTAACGAAAAAGTTAAAAAGCTGCATTCATATTATGCGAAAGATTTATAATGCATTAGATGTCATCTATTAGTCAACACATAATCTATACAAATATATAGTATGCGAGTTACAATTATTTCAAGTATCAACGTAGACCTGTAGCATATATCAAATACACTGAGAAATACACCACCTTAGTTTGTTCTCAGAAATGGTAAAGAATAATGAACTACATCTCTTGTATGCAACATTGGAAAGTGTGTTTAGGTTATAACATTATTAGAAGTATGAATTACTGGTATGCAAGTAGATTAGAAGTAAATTATTGGTTATATTCATAATTATGCTTTTCACTTACTGGGGGCGTGGTTAATTTACTGAACTACAAAATTTTTTTCATCCATGAACATGTATTACAATATATTTATTGTAATGGACAAATGTTTTTGAAAATCCCTTCTGGAAAAAATATTTATAATGTTTATATTTATTTAGACATTTCAGCTAACTTTGTAATTGCATGGAGGATTTCATCATGAGCTGACATCGGTTAGAGAACCACTGGAAAATCTAGGAGTACTGGACAGCTGCTTCACCCTAGTTTGAAACTCTTCATCAGTAAGCACTCACCGGGATCGAACCCAGGACCTTCTGGTTACAAGGCGAGCTCCCAGTGGCTCAATGGTCTACGAGCTCACCTTACAACCAGAAGGTCCTGGGTTCGATCCCGGTGAGTGCTTACTGATGAAGAGTTTCAAACTAGGGTGAAGCAGCTGTCCAGTACTCCAAGATTTCCAGTGGTTCTCTAACCACAAACAAAATCCCTACAAAACCAATGCTTGAAAATTAACTTTGCAATTACTAAACTGTGTTTCATTAATTTAAAATTTGCACACCACATATTGATTTTTGATCTTTATTAATCGCATTTGTCCTTGTTTAATCTTTAGTTGTAATACTTCTCTTTGTGGTTGTGTGTACATTTATAATGTTGTTGTTTAACGATATAAGTTTTTCTGAGTTTGTTTCGAACGTCATTCTGACCTAGGAGGTCTTGGCGCATGATTCTTGTACTTGTTTGTATTTAGAACCCCTAACCACAATTGAGTTAATTTTGAGTTTAATGTTATTATTGTTTAATAGAACCGCTAAAATTTTGGAGAATATTAATCTTTTCCCTGTCTTTGGAAATTTTCGTGATACCGCGTGTCTCGACGAAGTTTTGTCGGCTATACAGTAAAACGTAGATATCAGTTTCTTGTGTTCAGACGATATTTGTATAAATTTGGTCACTACATTTACTACTGTTCATTTGTTTTAATCATTGAATTACTTCCGTGGATAGCAGTCTATCCTCAAAAACATTTTCAAGTAGATATCAATCTATTGATATGAGTTTGTTTTTGAAGGGATTCGAGGAAAAATATTGTGCAGTATTGCATCAACTTTCGAGTTGTACAATATTACTTGAAAAAAATTCATAATCAGTCATTACCTTACTCGAAGACCTTGAACAAAAGGTAACTGCTATTGCAATAAAACACGCTGAAAACTCTCTACTGTGTATAAACATATTTTTATAGAACAAAGCCTGGACTCATGACTAATTATTAACCTTGAATTTGAAAAAAATATCACTTTGCAACTAAGAAATTGTAAGCAACCTTGCTGTATATGCATGAAATGAAATTTTAAAACAGACCAGTATAAGACATTTTTATTTGACCAATAAGTGGGCATAACTCTAGTGTTAGATAAATCTAATGACGTAACAAAATTTACATCATCTGACTGAGCCAAAAAAGTTGTTAAACAAAAAGCATTTATTTATCGACAAGTTTATTGATTGTCAAAAGATAAATAAAAGTGGTAGGTACAGTCTACCAGTTTTTAAAATCTCTTATGTCGTGATTTCAACTGTTTCAGTTACATAAGTTTATTTGATATGTATGTACTCTATGGAAAAAATAAAAGTTTATGTGAAATCCTTTGTCAATGGGACAGAAATTCTAAGAAACAGTGATAGAAACAGAAACGCGAACTAACAGACATCAATACGTCAAAGTACATTAATCTAAGATTTCTATCCCACAAACACCAAAAAAAGAGAATGATATGTTGAATAAAATTTATAACGGGTGAGAGATAAAGTTGATAAAAGTCAGTGAAAAGTTTGAATATGTCAAAAACTAGGTGCATTTACACTGATGTGACCAATTTCATCCTAATAACCAATTCTTTTTAACACCTCAACGACCATATCCAGAAAATCTGCAATTTACCACATGGCTCATGTTAATGGTTTAACAAATCTTGATTTGCCATTGGATCTAAGCCTAACCACCATTGTTTTATCATCAATCTAATCTTTTATTGTTATTATTACCCATCGCTTGTATACTGAGAGATAGTATATGGCTTCACCAGCACATGTTTATCATTCTTAAGTGACTTCTCTCCACCCATTGACTTTGATTCAACCTTCACATAGTGCTTTCATGTATCCCTCGGACCCACCCCGCTGCTTCCTATTTGCTTTCCTAATTTGGACCTGGTGTGTGGACATCACTTAAAAGTCTTTTCAGATTATGCACAGTCCATCTGTATTTCCTCCCACGAAATTGTTCGGGGTTAGTTTTCAAACAAGCTCACTGCTGGAGTTCTTTGATACACACTCCTTACCGTCATCCATCTTATTTTGAGTAATAGATCAGCGAAAGCAACGTCTGATGAGTGCTTGCAGCCCGTCGGAACTGCTTTACATGATAGGTCTAGCTTCTGAATCACATACAGGCGCATTAGTTTTGAAAAATCAGATCTAGTTCCTTGTGCTAGATGCTGCAGATTTCCACACTGTTCTCAAAGGGATGAACACCTGTCTTGCTTTCTTGATCGTGTGTGCATTTAACATTTTCATCCGTATTTCTGGAAGTTGAATCTGATTATAGGCAACATAGGAGATTACCTCTCAATGCCTCACTCCATAACCCAGTGAAATGAATAATAAAACAGAATATGAAAAACTTATACATTTTTGCCTACCTAGCTGGTTTCAGTACACGTTGTAAATGTTCATGTAATTTACACATATTTGCAATATTTGTCGGTATTCGAAGTCGTTTTATCAAAGTATCAAAATCAAATGATGCATCAAGTACCATGTATGCACCGTGTAAACCACTTGCTTCAATTCCATTTGTAAAATCCTAAAAGACAAAAAGTAAATATTAACTTGTTATCTACTGAACATACTAAATGATTACAAAGTGCTGCTTGCTACTGAATATTTATTATAAAATACATACAACTGTTAATAAACATGCTTTGATAAAGGAAGTTTATTTTCAGTAATAAACTCTATTCTCTGAATAAAATGTCATTAAATGGGAGACCATAAGTATTCTGAAAGTTCCTTAAGATTTACTATGTTTACCGGAAATAGTTATTTACTTCTATGTGTAATTTCAAAGCTGTGGATGAAAGAAACGAACCAGAAAGCTTTTATAATGCTTTGAAAATGTTCGAATGAATTATTATTATTTCCTTTAATTCCTAGAGGAACATAGGGCTTCAGTTGCACGTCTCGATTGCGTTCGGTTTTCTGCCAACGTTTTAACCTGGCCCCAAGTCTGCCCACATACTTTCATCTCCTCTTCACACGACGTCCTCCAAGTCCCCCTTGGACGACCAACTCTCCACTTCTTTTTCGGGCTCCCCTCGAGGGTTTGTCTAGTAATGTCACTTGATGGGTTCCTCAGATTATGGCCAATCCATCTCCATTTGTCCCTGCCTATTTGTTGCACAATCGGTTCCTGGTTGGTTCACTCTCAGAGATCCCTATTGCTGATCTTTTCTGGCTGGCCATCTGATCTTGAGTATTGAGCGAAGGCAGCTGTTGACGAAGGTCTATAGTTTGTTGGAGATGCTCTTTATGACGCGTCACGTCTCTGATCAATATAGTAGCACTGACTGACTTCACATTGGGTTGAAAATCCGGATGTTATTTTTGATGCTTAGTGCTGTTGATCTCTCTACACAGACTTATGCATTTATTCTTTTTCAAATCTGTCGGTCGACACCTACTGGTCTAGTGTTTGATGTCGTCAAAGTGGTAAATAATATGCAGTTAATGTGTGTGCCTTAAATTAAACACGTAATGTTGAACTGAATTGTCTGGTGGTTTGCAGTACATTTGTTTTCCCCAGCATGAAGGACTTTGTCTTGCATTTAACTGGTGAATCACAACGCATACAGGATAACTGTTTTATTGACCACCCCGCACGTACTAATTAATCCAGTCATTCAACCAAGAACACTGAAATACATAGTAAACTGAAAAAATATCTATTCAGTGTTTTCATTGATAGATATAAACTGTAAGTGTGAAATATTCAAATGCCAACTTATAGTTTAAGTGACTAATTAATACAAACTAATATTTTTCTTAATGTAAAAAGAAGTATACAATAAAAGATTAAAGGAATGCTTAACTTTCATTAGATTGTTTTATTTGTTTCCTTATGGAATATTTATGTATCTATTCATCACTGGAAAAGCAAAAAAGCAGTGTGCTATTCATCAATGTGAAGTATAACAACTAAACCTTAAAATCACCTCTGAACTAAGGAGGCGTGTGATTGTCTTTTTACACTTAACCTACCCAACCCACCCCCCATTTTAATTTAACACAAATGCAGAAAACCGATTATTTACTACTGTTTTGTTTACCTGATCAATTGTGTGATCTAGTGTGATTATCCTCCAATGAATTATCAGTTGACTACATATGATAAGATCTTGTAGTATTTCTGTCTGAATGATATTTAAAAGAGAAATTGATTTGTATATCAGGGAATAGTACATCTAGTGTAATCCTGCTGCAATGCATGATCGATTCGAAAGTTGATCTTATGATTTATTTATATAATATTCAGTTTCATAAATGTTGGTAACATATATAGCTTATGTATTCTTATCAGAGTTAAAAGCAAACACACGTAGAAATGTAAATAAATTTAATGCTTGATTACGGGTTAATATAATTTAGAGAGCCATTGAAAACCAGACAGCACTGAACAGCTTTTTCTTCCGAGTTTCAGACCCATTAGCAATACGTAGTCACCGGGTTTCGAACACAGGACCTACTAGTTACAAATTCAGTTCGTAGACAGTTCAGTCACTGGGAAGCGACTCAATGACTAACCCATGAATACTGACGTCTATCAATTAGTGACTTCAGCGCGACAACAGCCATTGTGATCACTCCTACCGAGTGGAGACCACAGGTCACTTCTTCTAGTGAGTACGGAATACCGATGAGTCCCAAGCAGAAAAATAAACAGCTGCCTAGTACTCCCCGGTTTCCAAGGGTTCTGTAACTGATCCCAGTCCGTGGCCAAACTTGAAATCAATCAGACTCCTACAAACAAACTTTTGAAAAAAGATTTGAGTCGGATAATCACTAATGTTGTATTATGAAAATTTTTGGTTTCAACGAAAATATGTAATAGACAGGAAACAGAATAGAACTTACTTTTAAGCCTAGGTCACATAACCATTTAGTAATATGATCATTAGTCCAGTATAGAAGATCTAATTCACCAGGGTCTGAACTAGTACGAATCTTCTCAATAGACTGTAGTAAAAACAAGCAATTGCAAGAAGAAAATGAAATACATGGATTTATGGGCTTTCAGTTAAATTGAACAATTCACCTTCGGTGATGTTTAATGGGAAAGGCAACCAATAAATGGTAGTAAAGATGTGCATATGCAGTAGGTTTCAGTTTATTTCAGTTCAAGGCCTAAATTTAATACTAAAGCTGATGAGTTGATTAAATAATCTACGATTTCAAACTCAGCTCATGAGTTATTTTTGTAGCCACCAATAAATATTTAATGATTTTTAAATCTTCGTTAGTTCTTTAACTCATAGGTGGTCTTTATATAGATAAACTTCAGAAAACGTCTTGACTAATTCTTTGTACCACCAGGACCAAAACTTTACTCTGAACATTAACCAGAATGTATTCATTGTCCCTACAGTTTACTTGCTTGTTATTACGAATTCAGCCACCACTTGTGTTCAATGAGCAGTTCTAAATATGAAGTTCTGCCTGTGAATGACAGCATGTATTATGCAATTCGCAACACCGTTTTAATGGTTCTCATGATTTAGATGGATTGTGAGAACTATATCAAAATCAGCTAATGCCCTTTAGGATGCCTCAAACGTAGATAAAACGATTTATGATAATTTGAAAACATATTGACTGTAATAATTGGAGAATAATTTTTTTCAACGTCTAGGTAAGTCTGCCTAGGTGAAGCCGAATTAATTAATTAAATAAATCATTGAACTTGGAGAAATTGCAAAATAAGTGTTCTCTATAATGTGTCCATCGTCCAAGAATGGTAGTATAATTAATATGCAGTTAAACTGAGATACAGTCAAAGTTTATTTCACCTCATTTCTCATAACAGTCTAACAACTCAGGGCTGTCTTAGATTATTTAATTGACTGTTATCATTTTTCCTATTTCACACCACTTAGATCATATTTACTTGCGGTTTGAAGTTGAATGAAGTTGAATGTTTCGTTAGGAAAATAATCTTTTAACTTTACCCGCCAATCCCATTTATTCTGAAGCAGTGAAACTGGTGGATATGTGAAGAATATATAGAAGAAATATCATGCAGTTGGAAACAATTCACATTTGCTGTGTGAGGGGTAATGAGACAACCTATTTGTAGTAAGGTTCAAACATGTTACCTAAAGACTGGAGGTTTTACACTCAAATCAATCAGCTATAGCTCATAAAAATGACTACCCAGATAATTATGATTCAAAACAAAGTCATTTAAGGAAATAGCACGAGAAGCAATAATGAATTTCATTTACTCTTCAGAAATTCATAAGATTACTATAAGTTTGAATATTGTTATTATATCGTTTCCTTGATTTCCGAGTGGAACACAGGGCTTCAAGAATACATCCCCACTTTGTCCTATTTTCTGAAGTACTCTTCATCTGTGTCCACGATTACCCATAATTCCTCATCTCATCCTCACACAATCTTCTTCATGTCACCCATGGACCTACTCCGAACTTTTCGATTTCCATTCAGCTTCCTTTTCGAGGGCCTGGCTCTGGCTGGCGATATCTTTCAACGGTCTCCTCAGTGGCATATTCTTAGTTCATCTCTATTTTCTCCTACATATTTGGTTAACGATAGGTTTTTGGTTAGTTTGTTCCCATAGTTTCACCCTGCCAATTTTTTCTGGCAATGTGACCTTCAATATGGAGTCAGAGGAGTCAGCTGTTTATAAGAAGCCTGCATCCTGTTGGAAAAGCTTTTCATGATGCCAGTACCAAGTTTCTCAATCATAAAGAAGAAGTGACTGACTTAACAATGGTGTTGAGGATTCGAATCTTGTTCTTTATGCTGAGTGCAGACAATTTCCAAACTGGTTCCAGATTAATGAAGGTGTATCCTACCTTTCCGATTTAAGTTTGAACAAAGATGAAGTGAATCTAGTGAAGACCTAGAAAAACGAAACTTTAACAGTCCTTTCAAAGAATCAGGACGGTGTTTATGTTCATTAAAATGGAATGTCACTATTATCTGTACCTCTCACATTTTTGACTCACTCTTCAGTATGAAATAAAACTGGTTATTTTGTAGTTGTCACTTTAATTTTAAATGATTTAAGGCTAGAGTCGAAAGAAAGAAAGTGGTTGAATCAGTCACTGTTTGAAGCATTTGGCTTGAAACATCGAAAATGTTTTTATACATTCCATTTATTCCAAGTGCTTACCTCTACATTGAAGTTATGATGATGTAGTAATTCAACTGCTGCGCGTAAACTTTCCGCTTCTCTTTTACCAAGTGAATATTTACAGTCAATAGGTAAATCTGCACCACTGTTGGACGATGATAAAGAGACTTTAGAAGATAAACCCAATAAAATATGCAACATTTCTTTACGTCCGGATACATGCCAATTACATCCAGGGGATTCGACATTATTAATATTATTACTGCTATTTTGGTGAGTATTATTAGTACCGTTTCTAGATGAAATTGATGCGACGGAGTTAGAATTAACATTATTGCTGTTGATGCTGATAACTTTATTAGTTTTCACATTGAGGAGATTTTGTTCAGAATAATTCTTGAGGGAGATGTGATCATCAGTAGGATTAGAGATGACTACATTGCTTAAATTGTTATCAGAATTATCATCGGTGTGTTTACTTTTACGTTTACTTGAATGATGACGATGTCTACCATGACCTGAATGTTTAACACGTTTATAAGAAATTAAGCTGGCCAACATTCTACCGTCTACACGACGTATTGCAAATAATGGAATTAATTGCACAAGGCCTAAATGATGCTTTAACCAAGTATCACAAACCCACTGATAGGTTATATGACTAGCACCAGGATGACGGGATAAACCAGGCGGTCCATGTATGCGTAGATCTTCTAATGCTGAAAAAAATTTCTTACGTAATCCTGCATCACTAGGAAGAAAAGAAGGAAACAGAACGCGAATAAATAGTGAGAATTACAAATTCCAGATTTTATTAGTTCAGGAAATGTTTTGCATGTAGCATTTAATGATGTTTTTTTAAGATTTTAAGTAATTAGTACAAATAACTAATTAATTAAGGAGGAATTATATAACTAACGTTTTCCAACTATTTATGACCTCTTATATAAGCTAGTGACGTATATCAATGTAAGCTGCTCAGTGTTGTTACTGGCTCTTAGATACAAATACAAATCAAAATATGAAAAACATCAGGTAATCTCTAGATGAATAAACACACCTTAGAAAAGTGATAAATTGATCACCTCTTCAAAGAAATCACTTTATAATCCAACGACGAAATACTGGTTCTAATCAGCTACAAAAGGATGCTTAACTGGATGAAGTGATACATAAAATAAAAAAAACAACATTTATTTAGCTGTTTGAAATGTATGTTTCACTTGGAGTGGACTGGCTAATTGTACATGTAGTGGAAACTGAATCGGAATACTGACTATTAAAAGCTTCAACATTGATCTCGAACTAATTTCATCTATAGAACCACTGATTACCTGGAAGTATTGGATAGATGTTTTGTCCTCGTTTAGGACTCCTCACAGTACACACCCCTGACCTCACAAAGAGCGAACCCAGGATCATCAAGTTAGAAAGTGAGGTGGTTGACCGTCTAGCTACTGGGACGGAATCTAGTTTTAACTTCTTCCAATAGGTGGCTTATAGTGTGACCATCAGTCAGTGCCGAAGCTTCCCATATAAAGATGGAACACATGTCCAGTACTCCCTAATTATTACTGAATCCTTTATTAAAGTCATTTTGTGATCAGTACTGAAATCAATTAAATGCTGGCAAGCCTGCACTTAAAAATATTAAAAATTATTGGGGAGTAGATAAAGTTTTACTTCTCTAAATAATGGTTGTTTCAATTATATAAGAGAATCTAATTTTTTCACGTCACTTGTTTTCACTGATTTTCAGATCAATATTGTTGAAAGCATGACAAACTTAGTATTCAAAATCTTTAACTATCCATTTCTTGATATTCCAGATAAAGAGTACACTGCATATAAAGTGGCAAAAGCTGTCAGTAGACATAATCTCAACAGGCAATATGTTTACAAGTTTTACACAAGACTTCCCTGAAATGATATAATAAAGGTCTTGGAAAGAAGCACAGAAATTTAATAAAGTGGAGAAATTGTTCAAAAGAAAGCCTTCCACTAAGGTAACGATTTTCCTGAACTTTTATTCCTACAATAATGGGATTAAAAACACTTCCGATTGCAAGCAGTGATGTTAAAGCATACCCTTAAATACACCAGTTCCAATAAACGAGTCTTTTCAGTCTATGTTAGTAAGTGCTATTTGATAGTCATGCCTAGGTAGCAGGCTTTGGAGTTAAACAATATAAAACTGCACCTTCATTGTTTCATGATAGTTTATGTGGCTTATTACATCAGAAATGCTGCATCTTTATTAATATCCTAGTGGCATTCAATGAAACTAATGTATTTTGGGGGAAAGTTATGACACTACATGATAGCGACTGCATATATATCATTCTATTTATAAGCAAACGTGTTACTAGACACATTATTCATATGATTTATCATTCTTCATCATCTAATTTTATACTGGTCTTGTTTTAAAAACAACTTCGTAACAGATGTTACTGGTATAAGTATTTGCTCCAACCTATAGGTTTTCTTGATTATTTCTTAGTTGAGGAAAGTTCATGAAGACTTTTACATACTTTTATTTTCAAGACTCCAGCAGATCAACAGCCAATAAAGCTAATGAGGCAAATGTTTTGAAGAAAAAATATTCACTATCACAAAATTACATCTGTCGTTTGTACAGAGCATTAACTATTCATTTAATCAAATGTTTTCGAAAATTTTCCTTCTCGAAGAAAGCTGTCATGACATAACCACCTCAGAGTTTGAAAACAATTTTTTTTTATTTATTTTCAAAGTCAGTGAAATTTATCTGTTTCATTCACCTCTTTTACATAGTGACGAATTGAGCATCTATAACACTTATTTTATACTTCAGGATGACTGTTAGTTTTTAGAAATTAGTTTTAACTTCATTTCCACAGACTTTAATGTTGACGTAAAGGCTCCTAATACAAACTTTTCAACAATACCTTGTGGCTACTTCGATATTACTTGGTTGATGGTGATTTGTACAGCGAATCCACAAGTCACTTCACATCCTAATCATGACTCATCAGTTGGGCGTGTCTCGCTTCCTAATGAATGGTGAATTTTCCCTTCAAACTCATTACAGTATTCTGTTTTGTTAAATATAAATAAATAAATATATATATATATATATATATATATAAATATTTTTCACACTATCCCTATCTAGTCATTATTCTACTAAGTATAATCAACTTTATGATATAAGTAAAGAATATTTTTCCAATGTAACATTTCAGCTTACAGATTCTTAAGATACAAATATGTACTGTGCATTTTGAACTCACTCTAAATACTTAAAAAATGACTAACTTTTTTACATTTTTTTTCTCCTAGTTGATATTTGGTTACGAGAAAGGTAGGCATAATAGTCAGTCAGTTACACTAACCGATAAATGTTTTATTCGTTTATCTAATATTATATATTGTTATTATGCCCTGTATAAACACTGGCTAGTTCATGTTAGACAATGAATGTATTCCTCTATCAAGTTATATAAAATTAAGATATAAAATAAATTCTGTAATATATGTTTTAAACTTTGATATCAGTAGATTTTATACAATGCACATGACTATATAAAATAACCAGGAAGTTAAATATTATTATTATTCTTAATATTTTGTTCCTGAGGTTGCTTTAAGAGTATGCATGGTTTTTTCACGTATACAAAGTGAAATATGTATTTTAGTCGAACAGTTTTTTTGTCATATGCGTGTGGATTGTTAAAGCTTTCAAAAGAAAACATGTTGAATAACACATAATTAAAGAACTTTAAAAGTTCTAAATCTTGTACTTTATTATTGGATATTGAAAGAATTATCTCTTTTCTTACTGGATAAATGTTCAATTAGCTAGGTTGTCTGTGTATTTTTTAATTATCCTGCATTATTATTATTCTTATTATTGTTCCCTTGGGTTCCTAGTGGAACATACGGCTTCAACTGCACGTCCCCCTCCACTTCCTTCTGTCTTCTGCTACAGTACCTTTCACCTGCATCCATGTTAGTCAGTCCATTCTGTTTCAACTCCTCTTCACACGATCTCCTCCATGTCACCCTTGCACCGACGACCCACTCGTCGCTTCCCTTTCGGCCTGGTTCCACTTGAGCAATGGCCTGATGCGCGCGCGATGTCACCCGGCGCCCACCTCAGCGAGCGAGTGTTCAATCCATCTACACTTTCTCCTGCATATTTGTTGGGCGAGCAACTGGTTCTTGATTTGTTTGTTACCAGCCATAGTTTCTCGTTGGTGATTCTTTCCGGCCCGGACATCTGATATTCAGTATAGAGCGAAGACAGTTGTCGATAAAGGTCTGCCACTAGCTGTTGGAAATATTCTTTGTCACCCGCCAACCAAGTTTCTGATCCGTATAGAAGAACTGACTGACTTGACGTTGTTTGTATTGAAAATCCGACTGAATTTTGTTTTCGATGATGAGTGACGAAGATTTCCAGATTGGTTTCAGGCTGGTGAATATGTGTCTTTCTCGCCTTCTCGATTCTCGCTCGATTTCACATCCTCACCCGTTTCGACTGGCTGTAGTTGAGACAATGCTCAGTGCTAGATAAGTGAATGAAGTAACCCCTTTCAAATCCCTCCCGTTGGTGGTGATTGGCTCTGGATGTTGGTGCTGTTGTTGTTGTTGGTTATTTTCATAACCTCCGTCTTGTCTATGTTCAGCTGGAGTCCTGTCTTCACCGGCTGCTTCTTCGACCAGTTTGTCAGTTTTCGCTTGTAAGTCTTCGATTTTGTGACAGTGACATGAAACATAAATCATCCACGCGCGAAATCCAGGTCTTCTAGGTTCTTCACGTCGGTCCAGGATATCACTGTCTTCTCGTTTCACACTCGCTGTCTGACGCATGATCCAGTCCACCACAATTAGGAATATCATCGTGGGTGGTAATAAGCACCTCTGTCTGACTCCTGTGTTTACTCCAAACGCCTCGCCCCCATGGTATGAAACCTATGGATATAAGTTACTTGAATTTTGGTACTGATTTCAATTCTGAAATAATTACTGCTTTTTGCTGATTTGAAGTCGCTTCTTTGAGTGCAGCAGTTAAGGTGTTAATTCTGAGCTGATCAGATCATAATGACAATAAAAAAGTCGGCTGACAGTTTATTATTATAATAATTCAGTTAGGTTTCGAGTGGAATATGGGGTTTCAGCAGTACATTTCCATTTCACCTTGTTGTCTTTTGTCCGCTTTATTTGGATTTACGTTTACCTATAAACTTTATTCTCTTCGTGACACTCTAGAAAGCCCCTTGTGTTGTTTCTCATTCGGATCCCACCCTAGGCTTAGCCTTTCATGTGATCCTTAGCAATAATTAATGGCTGGTTATTTGAACGTAAATCCTTATCGATTTCATTGTTATTAGTGGAACATTCAAAATCCGGGTTCATTTACTTTCCTGCTTATCATCAACCTTAAAAATGCAATAGGGAAGCCTTTAACTTTGTTTATGTATTGTTAAGTGTAAGGACAGATTTGTGTTAGCACGAGTTATCCCACTGGGACTAGTCATCATTGTTTGTATATCCACATACAACTATAATTAGCATATGTACTTACTGATGAAACTTGATTATGCATTACTTATGTAAAAATCATTTAAAGAAACGTTCAAATATTTTAAAGAAATAAGAAATACTATCACACAGAAAATTGATTATTTACAAAATTGTTATTAGATGGTTCGAGGTGATTGGCAGGAAGCATTGGCTTCATCTAAGTTTCGTGCTAGTTGGCAC